GCAAAGGAAAAGAATGTAGTAAAAGGACTTCAATTATCATGGGGATAACCTACTACTACTTGTTGGTTTGGTTGGTGAGTCTTGGGGCAGGGGGGTAATTAGTCAATGGGACTTTGGTTTTCATTGACTAAGAATTTTATGTTCTTTTTTCAGATTTATGTGGGAACGAGGAAAAGTTTATTTTCTTGGGTATCACTTATCTGAGTATGTGGTATCAAGGTTCAAAGTACTGACACGTATCGATCGATACGTATCATTCCAAGACACCTCCGATACGCCCCTATGGTGAGTGTATCGGGGGTCTGATTGGTTCAAGGGATGGAGGAGCCCTAAACCGGCCCCCTTGAACTGGTTTCAAAAAAAAAAAAAAAAAATAGTATTGATTCGCCTGATACGCCCATACCGACGTATTGGGCATATCAGTATTTTGAACCTTAAGTGGTATCCATCTCCTTGGTGGGTAAATAACTTTCCGGATAAGTGTTTTTCAGGAAAAACTTACCTAAGTAATTACATTTACCCGGATAAGTAACTTACCGAAAAACAAACTGGGCCTTGAAATTTTCTTTAGAAATGTGTAAATTACAATGAATTGGGTTTCATATCAATTCCGGCGATGTTTACCCTTGGACGGAATCCACCCCGAGCACACCCAGTCAAATCCCATTATCTACGTTGTGCACTAGCGTCCTGATACCGGTTCTCCCGATAAGCTACGCCTCTACAACAGTAGTCATTGCCAATGAATCAATTTTGCAGACGATTCTGAGAAATGGTTTCGAGGTGGATTATACCGGTGGAAACGAGAACGACCGCCTGTGCTCGCAGTGTATTGGTTCCGGTGGGAGATGTGGGTATTTGAACGGATTTACTTGCTTTTGCCCTGACCGCCCTTACCCAAATCCAAGTAAGGCGTGTCCTCCTCCTCTACCACCTCCTAGCAAAGGTACGCTTCTTTTTTCGAACGCCAGAGTTACCTTCAATTTCTTTGATCGCTAGCTAGTCTCCCGTTAATCATTAATTCTTGTGAGTGAATAAAAGGATAGAAAACTTGTTAACACAATTTTTCACATAATAATTCTTTTGCATAATCAATGCCTATTGTTCTCTCTCCATCTTCGTCAAGTCATTAATTTGCAGAGGGTTGGTTAATTAGTAAGCAAATAAATATCTACTAGAATCATATTGAGCTGTTCTATATATCTTGAAAACCCAACTGCAGTTTGCAGCATAAGATCCAAAATATAGTTTTTAGTGACCAGTAGTAGCTAGTACAACTACACCCATGTCATCTCTTTCAACTCATTCTACGTTCAGTCTATTCTAGAATTTCAGCAAACCCATAAGTTCCATTCTATATTCTAATAGATGAAACAGATCATTTACAGAAATTTATAGCCTGGCAATACCAGACCAACCTAAGCACTAATTAGGTGCTGTGGCCTGTGGGGGTTGACGATTCTCTTCTTCCAAAACAGCATGTGGAGCTGCGCTTGCACATGTTATTTGTTTAATTGAATGCAAATTCAAACGCAATCCAATTAAAAGGTGACCATAGTTGGATCGAATATGGATCCGTCCCTACCTGATTCCATATGATCATACTTTGACAATATTTAAATATTTACCTTAAATTTGTATCTATTTATTAGTCTAGTTGGTTTAAATGTTCTGTATTTTCTAAAGCATCATAGATTCAAGTCTCATAGATATTATTTTCAATTTATTTATGATATACAATATTAAAGTCGTTTATATAACGAAATATATATTTTGATTATTTTTAGTTTCATTTATTAATGTTATTAGTTTGATTTGAACCAAATCCAAAACCAATGGATAAGACTCGATCCAAATACCACACCACACACATAATACCACGATACCAAACACCCACTTAATAGTGTTGACAGGTTAATTTGGTGAATTGCCAAAAGAGAGGATTTGGGTGTTGGAGGTTTTAAGTTTCATGTGAAATCATGTCTGTTTTCCTCACAACCTTTATCCGTGGCAAGGTACGGGTCCAACTTGGATTGGGTTGGATGGAGCATTTCTTAATTTCTGGCCAACCGTGAGCCCATCTAGTTGAAATTATCAATCTGCACCCTTTAAAGGACCACTCTTTAGACTTCCACTTATTTGAGGAAACTATGACTATTATACTGTTGTTATCAATGTGATCTAATTTTTATTAGGTCGTTTCTTGTTATCTGTAACTCATTAATTCTGTGTATATGTTGATCTCTAATTTTTGTAGCTTTTGAGGATCTCAAGAGCTTTGTAATATTTGATTTTGTATTTTAGGGGTGTTCACGGGGGGTAAATTACAGATTGAAATAAATCATTTTAGTATAGAAATCAAACCAGATTAAACCGCTTTTGGTTTGGTTTATACAATTTGGGCTATTCTATTAGGCTTAGTCTAATTAAAAAGCTCAAATTAATTGCATTGTTACATAAATAACAATTATAATTCAAATATCAAATTGAAATGTTAACACTACCTATTACTATCATATAAATTACATTCATAATTTCTAGAACATAGACAGCTCCTTGAACATTACATTGCAAGTTAAAATTTGAAACAAACAACAACAATGTATGAAATACTTAAATAGTTAAGAGTTATGGAATATGTTTTAATGTTAATTACATGTGTGTGTTGGTTTACAAATATATCTTATATTATATATATATATACATATATATATATATATATATATATATTCGTAAATATATTATTAATAATGTGATTTACAGTGTAGTCCGTTTTTAAGGCCAGACTAGACCAAACTGCCCATTTCAGTTTGGTTTGGTGTGGTTTGATAGTTTGAACCATATAATGAACACCCCTAGTTACTGAATGTGGTTTTTCTGGCAGAGGAGTACTGAATGCAATTTAAAAGGTGCATGACTCCTGCATGTAATTTTATTAAAAGGGTAAATCTCTTAATTCTTTTAGTTGTCCTAGCCCCAAAATTAAGCCTCAGGCTTTGCACATCACAAGGCTAAAGGCTTAAAGGCTTAGTCCTCTAACAACTCAAGGCTTAAGCCTTGGTAATGGAGAGAAAGGCTATCGAGGCTAAGCCTTTTCAGTCAGTGCCTTAATGGCCTTTTAAAACCATAATTAATACCCTAAATATAAGACTTAATGTGAAGGAAGTGAATAAGAAGAAATGTAGCAGTTCAAATTACATTATATACAGTCATAATTAAAGATGGACCAAATTCAAAAGCAAGGGTATTTTAGTTAAGAATAGGATTCAATAAATGTTAATGAAAATGGTACAAACATAAGCTACCTATGTACCAAACCCTCTATCTATTGTTTCAGTCTTGATGTCTTAACAAAAAGAGAATCAGATCTCTCATGGTGGCCTTCCACATTTACACATTTGAAGTCAAACTCAAGCTTTTGAACTTTGGCTCGCATCTCTCTCCCTCTCTCATGGGTAGGAAACATGGGAAAACAACAATTATGTCCCTCATGGGTAGAAAAAATGAATGTTGTATAGTTGGCCCCCCAATGGCCATCAATATTTACTCTTCCCCCTGCCCCCTAACCCATTTTAGGTTTTAGCCCCCCTCATAAAAAAATCTCGGCTACACCCTACCCATTGTTTTTGTTAAAGCTCTATTTATTTTCACTTACATGGGTAAATGAGTTTATCCGGGCAAGTGTTTACTAATTAAAACTTGCCCAAATTAATACAACTCGAGTGTTCTTGTGCAATATAAGTTACCTGGATAAAGAAAGAGGTGTGGGAAAGAGCGTTATTGGCACATGATAAATTGTTTACCATCCTCCAAGAAACTTCTCTTCTTGTGAGACCTAATATAGCGGCAGAACGTGGGGATCGTGGTCAATTACCACCCCGCTAAATATTGGCAAACGGACATGACCTAAATTCTGTTGTTACTTCCTTTCATAGATTTAATTAAGTTGGTGTTCCCTACCGTGCTCATCTCATGGATGGCCTGTTTTGATTCACACCACAAGATGGCTGGCGTTTGGTTTTTTGTGGATGGGACTAGTCTCCAATATATAGTGGACCAACATCGTTCAAAACGTAAAATCTCGTCCACTCATTTATCTTGTGACTGAGTTTGGTCCCCAGTGTTTTGACAATTTGTCTCTCCTACTCATTGATAAGATACATCACACATTTCTCTTTACCCTACAATGGTAATGTTGAAGCTCTTCTCCACCACTGAAATCTCTTTTCCACCAATTAGTATGGGATCCAATAGACCAATATTTTGATGTTATGTTTGTCCTACAATAGTGTCTTTGTTTTTTTTTTTTTTGGTTTGCATAAATAATTTGATGTTATGTTTGTCTTGCAATAATTTGTTTTTTGAATATTTTTATCAATAAAATAATAATTTTATTTTTTTAATTATTTTATTAGCATTTTTGTTAAAATTATTATTTATTGGTTAATATTCAATTGCAAGATGCCTTTTGTTTCAATTTATTTAATCATATAGATTGCAAAAATCAGACATTTATGATCAACTGTATAGATTACTACATAAATACATAGGGGTGTCAATGGTATTTGAAAGTCTAATTTCAAATTTGAGACTCAACATAATCGAATCGAATTCGGATAATTTGACTATTTAATCAATTGAATTCGGATATAACCTAATTCGATTCGATAAATATCCAAATTTGGTTGATTATTTAATTCTTATATAAAATATTTAAATGTTTTATATAATTTATATATATATAACAATTAAGTTATATAAATAATTTATATATTTATATATTTATATAAATAAAATATTTATTTTATATATTTACTAATTACTTAAAATATTAACTGGTTGAATTCAAAACGAATTGATTCGGATATTGTCTTATTCCATTCCTTAATTAGATTTTCAATGAAAGATAAAATAGACATTCAGTATTTTTCGTCAATGTTTGATGAAGATGCAATTGCCAAAAAACCTAGAGATTCTTCAAGAGGTTGTGCAAACTGTTACTTTTAGTCCATTTCTAAAGCGTAAGGGAAGGAGTTTCTATTTTCCTGGGTTCAACAAACCATTAATAATATAGGGCCCGTTTGGTAAGTCTTTTTGAAAAGATCTTCTCGTAGCTCTGATAGTCAATAGACGCATTGAGCTTTTGACATAAGATCTGGACAACCCAAAGACCATTTGGCAGACGTGCATCTTTCCGTACGAGATTAAAACTCGGAAAACACGGAAAGATTCAATATGGCCAGCTTCTGAGTTCTCACTTCTCGGAGATGACTATCCACTACTGTTGTTGGTTTTTGATAAGGAAGTGAGGGAGCGATACTATGTAACTACACCGGTTGGTTATTTGTTTCAATCAACCTAATAACCAACCGGTTGGTTATTTCCTGCTATATCTTGTAATATTTTATTTATATATATAAAAACTAAGAAAAGTAAAACGAACACAATAAATAAGACGAAGGAAAATAAACAAAATATTTTTGTAGAAGCATGTGATGCTTGCTAATACTGTTGAATGCACTTGCAGAGAAGATAGCTCTCCCCTCATACAACGACACTAATTTCTCTGTATCTTCCTCCAAGCCAGTAACATCATCTTCCACATCGTGCGAATAGGTCCGTCTCAATAGATTTTGCATATCAATTGAAGAGCTCATCACTGTGCTTGTTTCGCCGATATCTTTGGTGCCATAAGTTTCACGATTACGAGAAATTTCACCAATCTTCTTCTGTATTTTTTTTATCTGCTTTCTTAACTTGTATAGATCTTTCCCCTTGCTGACCATGCCAAAGCAATTCTGGGTGAAGCTCTGTCGTTTCCTTCTCCCCTTGCACGTAGGTATCAATAACATTCTGCACCTCATAAGCAACACCCCCGATTTCCCGAACCCAGTTGCAGATTCTTTCGCCTTTTTGCTGCCTCGTTTCTGCATCTTTTAAGAAGCATTGCATCCATTCCAGTTAAGATTGCAACCCTTTGACTTCATCTCTCACGTCAAAGAAGAAAAATGCTCTTGAACAAGCAATTCACCAAATTTTTCTATGGTAAGGGAATAAGGTCGGCCATCCGGTGCTACCTCTCTCGTCACTTCTTGATAAGAGATTGTCAAAAACTTCTGAAACACCTTCAAAGCTAGTGGACTCAGACTGAGCTAGACTGATCGACTCTTTCTGCTCTGCTTTCTTTCATCGAACTAGTGACTAATCAACTCACCAATGGACTTATAAAAAAAAAGAACTCAACTCACCAATGGACTTATAAAAAAAAAAGAACTCAACTCACCAATGGACTACTAGCCAACCTGTAGGAATCTATTTTCCCAAAAGTTATTTAATCCATAATAAACTTTGTTGGACATTTGTTTGGAGGTTGGACAGACAGGGACAAGTGGCTTGATTTGAGTGGATTAGTAGAGAGGAGAGGAGGAAAAGGTTAGCAGGAAATCAGAACTGACTCATCTCCCACATGCACACCATCCTTTTGAATATGTCCTAAACATCAACTTTTCTGAGAATATTTATATTTAAGAAAAGTCATTATGCAGACCATGCATTATAAGCATAAATTGATCCGTTGGACCATTTTGCAACAACGAGTTGATTAATATTAAAAAAGGTTTAAGGTCTTCTCTGTTTTTTTTTTATATAACTAACAAAAACGAATGGGAAAGGTGCGTTATGTGATCATTTTAGCAATTTGTTATTTAGACTAATGTAGTTGGTAATGATTTTTGAATTTTCTGACTTTTTTTTTGGTGTTGTGCAGTAGGTGGTTCAAAATTGAAGGTTGCCATAGGTAATGCTTTTTGCAAGTTATTTACTTCTAATTACCATTTTCACCTACTGCTTACAAAACTTTCTTGTTCAACTTTTAGGAAAATGTTGAATTAATGAGTATTAAAATAAACCATTTTTTAAGTTAATTCTGTCCATGCATGGTTCAAAGTATTGATACCTAATATAAGTAAAAATTGCGTATCAATCGTGAGATACACAATTTTTTTTTAATTTTTCAATCTTATATTTCAATGATAAAAAATGTTAGGAAGGGTTATAATGTTTTAAGATTTTGAAACCCTATAAATTAAGGTTCAAAATATCGATATGTATCAGGCCATATCAGTTGATATGTATTATATTTGGGGCTTCCCAATACGCCCCTACAGGGGTGTTTCAAGGTCTCAAAACAACTGATATATCTCTACCAGCTTATCGGATGTATTGATATTTTGAACCTTTATCATTTCAGTGGCCCTGCAAACCAATACACGAATAGGGTAAGGAACACTTCAATACTTTGAATCATAGTAAGGAACGCATCAATAAATACTCTTTATAGCATCTTCTTCCCTACCATATTTTAACACCTCAGCTTTTGGCTACAGTTGCATCATTTGCCGGAACTTTCACTCTTGTGGCAATACTATCAATGTTCTATTGTATAAGAAGGAACTCATCCACAAAGAATGACCAGAAGGTGGAAGAGTTATTAAAGGATTTTGGTTCTTTAGCTCCAACAAGATATAAGTATTCAGATGTCAAGAAAATGACCAACTGCTTCAAAGATAAAATTGGACAAGGAGGTTATGGTGGTGTGTTCAAAGGAGAGCTAATTGATGGACGTCTAGTCGCTGTGAAGGTCTTATGCGAATTCAAAGGTACTGGAGAAGAATTCATTAATGAAGTTGCAAGCATTAGTAGGACATCTCATGTTAATATTGTCACCCTTCTCGGATACTGTATAGAAGGACCGAAAAGAGCACTCATCTATGAATTCATGCAGAACGGATCACTTGAAAAGTTCATATATGGTGAGACAGTTGTAGTTGAGACTCATCCTCATCTAGGGATGTATAGACGATACCAAATTGCAGTTGGCATTGCTCAGGGGCTGGAGTATTTACACCGTGGTTGTAAAACACGAATTGTGCATTTTGACATAAAGCCACATAACATTCTTTTAGACCAAGATTTTTGTCCAAAAATCTCAGACTTCGGCCTTGCAAAGCTATGTCTTAGAAAGGAGAGTATTATATCAATGGTAGGTGCCAGAGGGACCGTTGGGTACATTGCACCAGAAGTTTTCTCTAGAAATTTTGGGGGAGTTTCACACAAATCAGATGTCTATAGCTATGGAATGATGGTTCTAGAAATGGTTGGGGGAAGAAAAAATATTGATGCAGGAGTTGATCGTACAAGTGAAATATATTTTCCACACTGGATCTATAAGCAGGTTGTATTGGAAAAGGATTTAGGGCTTTGTGGGGTTATGAATATAGGAGAAGAGGAAGCAAAAATTGCTAGGAAATTGATTTTAGTGGGGTTGTGGTGCATACAGACAGATCCTGCCAATCGGCCACCTATGAATAAGGTGGTAGAGATGCTGGAAGGAAGCGTAGAATCCTTGCAAATTCCACCCAAGCCATTCATATATTCTCCACCAAGGTCTCCAGCAGGTTCTTCCACCACATAAAAATGGAGATCATATGGAGACAGGAGATTTGTTCTTTCTATGGAGGAAAAGCGTCGTGAGATCATTTTCCTTTTATTCAGCAACGGTATAGAACAAAATTACTCTGTTTGGAACCAGAACAAAAAGGTCTTTTATTTTTTTGGTTTGGTTTGGGAAAAAGAAAAACTGATTATATTAATACTAACTGTTTAAAAAGAGTTCATATCACTGCCCCACAATGCCATCTCCTGATGATGACATCATCGAAACTGATATTATCATCAGGAGATGTTTTCAGTACAGAGCAGGGATGTGCTGTGAGACGTTGTGGGGCGGAGATGTGATGTCGGTTAAAAAGCTGTATATCCAACCCATTAACAGCAAGTTGGCATTGCAGTTGTCCCTCCCCCATCATACATTGTAAGCACTATTGTGAGAGGAGAATAGGTACGTGTCTTTTGAATTTGATATTGAAGCCCATTTTTATCCTAAAACTTAATTACTGCCCTTAATAGATAGCAGGTCAATCGGTTTCACTCAGTAGAAAGCCAATGCACAATTAAGATCCATTTACTCTTTGCACATCGAAGTCAAGCTATTGGACATGCATCTAGCCATGCATCCAGGCGTCATCTGTTTGCATGTGGTTATCTTCTGTTCTAATAAGTAGACTAATCACTAATGAAAAGATTTTTATTAGGCCAGGATTTTCTAATTAGTACACAAATTAAAGCTCCCACCCAAAAAGGAAAGGAAGAAATAAATGGTCACTTTTGAGAGTCTGACCAATCAAAACCACCCAGTGGATTTTGATGAATTCTGTGATTTGTTAGTGTACAACTTCTGGTGTCCGGGACTCCTTTCAATTAGGCAAACCAGCATTTCTGAGACTTGAGACTTGAAAGGTTAATTAGGCGCCTTCTTGTTGCAGAAGATTGTGGACAAACAAATATGAAAAATCCGTGACAACCTTTTCTCAAAGAGAGGATGATGCATATATACCTGTTGATGCTCAGATTGGTCGAGAACAACAAACTAATTTCGCCCCTAGACTCCGAAGGCTAGCTGAAGGCTTCGAGGGTTCGAAGAGTTTGCTGCTGAGGTCAAGGTATGCAGGCCAAGGTGGAAAGGGCTCCAAATACTGTAGAAGCCAAAGGCAGGTGGCCGAGGTACTGCAAGGCAAAATGCATCAGAAGCCCCGAGTGAGAACTTGAGGCAGAGTCTCCAACAGTCAAGTTAGTACGGGGTACGAAGAGGGGAACTAGAACATAACTTCTGAGACCAATTCCAGATCCAGATGCCGATTGTATTAGATTCCTCCCCTTACTTAGAGCGGGGCACCCATATTTATACTTGAGCTTCCTAGAGGTAGGTGGAGATGAACGCCTGAGATGGGTGTTGTATGAGGGCAGTCAGAGAGCTCTGCGGGGACGCGTGGGCGCTCTGCGATTGGCTCCGTACGAGGGGAGCAGAGTAACCCCTGCTATAGCAGATCTCGTTCCCAGATTTGGTGCTTGTGGGTTGGGCCTCCCAGCCTCAAATGGGTTGGGTTGGGTCACCCCACATCACTTGCCCCCCACTCCTGAGGCCGAGAGAAAAATTCGGCTTCGGCTGATGGAGTAGTAATGGTGAGCGCCAGTGGGCCCGGTAGCCGAGGTGTATCTTGTGGTGGCGTCCTCTTTCTCGTCTCTGCCTAGTTCGTCTTTATAAGTCCGGCCGAGGCTACGAGTGGTCTATGGCACTACTACTTCGGACAAGTGACTCGGGAGGCGCACTCAGTGTGGATGCTCTAGTGCCGTCATTTGGGTTGAGGACCTATGGAGCCAAAAGCTGTTTAGGCCGGGGGCCTGTGAAGCCAAAGGTTGTTTAGGCCGGGGGCCTGTTAAGCCAAAGGCTGTTTAGGACGAGGGCCTGTGAAGCTGAAGACTATTTAGGCCGAGGGCCTATGGGGCATGAGGATCTGTGTGCAGGACAGTCTTTCGGTTGAACCAGTGTGCATGCTCACGGGAATGGGTCGCTCGGATCGGCAGGTCGTTGTGGGCGGATGTGCTGGTTTGTCTTGAGCGTCATTTCGTCTTCCGAGTGTGAGCGCTCAAGAATGCGACACGGTTGGTTTGCAAGTGCAAAGGTACTTCTCATCCGTTAGATTTGAAATGATCCAAGACATTATTAGCGTCGCTTCGCCTTCCGAGGCTAAGCGTCACACGGCATACCATGATTGGGTTGTGGAGGCGGTGGCTTCCCATCCATTAGATCTAGAGAAATCTAGGCCATTCATTCCTCTTTAAATAGGGGCTTCGATAGTAGAATTCTTGTCATCTTGCTTCCAAGTGCTTTCGCCTTCGAGTGAACTTAGCTCCCAGATTCTCCAGTCTTCAACACTCTACCTTCACTTCTTTTCCTTCCACTCTCATTTTAGGTAATTTCCAACGATGTCTTTCCCAGATTCTAGACCTGAGTGCTTTCGAACCCCTTCTCCCCTTTCCCCTTTAAGCCCTTCTGTTTCCATTCCCCTCCGATGCGAGGTGGAGGTGCTCTGGGAGAGGGTAACCTCCAGGGGAGCCGAAGGCATCCTCCAAGCCAATGACCCTCCCTATGAGAGTGCCGCATCTGCGACGCCAAGGGAGGCCGAGGGGTCCCCCTAGGCTGAGGGGGAGCAGGACCCGGACCTCATCCCCAGGATGAGGGTTGAAAGTGTTGTCGAGGTGGCGGCCGAGACTGATCCTTCTTGCCTAGAGTTTGAAGGTTCTTTGGACTAGGATCAGGTCAAGGCCCTAACGAGGCAGTACTTCATCCCTTCATCCTATGGAGTGAGGGCACTGGAGGCAGGTGATCGGCTGTGGACTCCCAAGGAGGGGGAGATCTACGTTTATCAACACTTCCTCCAATTCGGTCTTCGGTTCCCCCTTCATTCGTTGATCTCTAACCCGCTAAGGGTGTATGGGATGACCCCTAGTCAACTGGCACCCAATGCGATAGGAACCATTGTGGCGATGCTGGTGGCAACCTGGCTCCAAGGGTGGAGTTGACATCGAAGCTCTTCCAAGCGGTCTTCGCATTGAGGAAGCACACTTCCAAAGTCGGTGTCTTCTACTTCCAACCCCGTAAGTCTAAGCTCGTAGATAACCCCTCTTTCGTGCACAACTGGAAAAGTAAATACTTCTTTTTGTCTTGTCCCAAGGGCTGGTCCTTCAAATTAGGGTGGGAAGAAGCCAACTTGTCTACGGAGAAAAGTGTCCCCTTGCTTACGAGTGAGAAGAGCGATAATCTCACGCGGCTGCTCAACCTAGGGAGAGTCCGAGCCCAACCCTTGGTGGAAGAGGAGGTCCCACTGGTTTTCGTGGGGCTCAACTCTACCCCCCCCCCCCTCGGTAGGATAGGCCATGCAATCCCTTTCCACATTTTCCTCGTCTTCATCTTTGTGTAGTGGTACTAACTATTGTTTTTTTTGTAGAGGTGTCGATGGATGCTCAGAAGGCCATAGTTGACTATGCCTAAGTGATACAGAAGGAGAGGGCAAAGGCTGGTGGACAGACGCCTCAGAGGCCCACTGGGGGCACGCCAACCCAAAAGGAGAAGGCATCAGGAGTTCTGCCAGTAGGGGTCAACCACAGTAGAAGGTGGCCCACTCCGGGAGTTCTACCGGTGACACCGCGAGGAGGCTCCACAAGGAGGAGCTTGCCCAGCGGTCTGACCAAATCTTTCGCCCTAAGTAGGAGATCCGCAAGGGGGACTCTATCCGCAATGCGGGAGTTGGCCTGGCGTTGGTGAGTGGGGATCTCCTGGCATGGAACCTCTTCCAAATGATAGGTATGGCCCCAAATAGGTTGTACGAGCAAGGGCTGCAGAGTCTGGCCGAGGTAACAGGTTGCTCCCTTTTCCTTTCCTTCTTTTCTTCGTTTATCTGTTGGGTGCTAACTGTTTTCTCATTGCAGGTCCGTCTTCACTTTGTTGGGCAAGGGGATCGGCTGAAATTGACCCTAGCCAATATGGACAAGCTGGAGGCTAAGAAAGACAAGCTTCAGCAAGTCGCCACCACCGCCATAGACAAGAGCCGCAAGTTCCAGCGATACTTCAGTGATGAACAAAAGCTTCGCATGGAGGCCGAAGAGAAGCTGAAGAAGACACAGGACCTCATCTCCCAAGAGCTAATGGAGAGGGCTCGTGCAGAGAGCCTCATTTCTAAGGCTGAACGGCATCTCCAGTAGGCTGAGGTGAATAAGCGGGCGGCCGAGGCGGAGAAGAGGGCCGAGGAGGCAGCTAAGAGTGATGCAGAGGCTGAACAGAAGGCAGCCAAGGCTGAGAAGAGGGCCCATGAGGCAGAGAAACAAGCTGATGAGTTAGCCAATCTCGCTTCCAGGGATTACTTGGACAGGATCGGGGACACCAAGAAGGCACTTGCGACGGTGCTTCCAGACTTTGATGCTGAATATTTGAAGGTGATCCCTGACTCTCCCGAAGAGGCTGCTGATTCTGCACTTCCTCCTTCGGCTGGTGGCGAGGCTTAGGCTAGGCTTTTTCTCTCCTTTTTTTTTGACAATGTACATATGTTTGGCCCGAGGGGCCATGAGACAATTTTGTAGAGCCAAAAATTTTGTACATAATGAAGATCGGTGGCATTTTTTATCTTTGCCTCAAATGTTGTGCTTTGCTGTGTTGTTTTTCCTTGTATTTTTTGCACTATTTTTTCCTTTATGCTTTCCTTGTCGAAGGGTCCTTGCCCCTCCAAGAGAAAAATCATAGTGTGAGACAAGTATAGTTCTCTTCAGTTTACTTTGCGCATCAGGAGCATGGCGAAGGGGTGGCCGAGGCGGTTGAGCCAGGGCTTGCCTGGCCTACCACCCTTCTTAAGCATTCACTTAGGCAAGGCCAAAGAGGCCTATAATGGGGGGGAGGCTGAAGTAGAGCATGAGGCTCGCCTAGCTCTCCTCCCTTCGAGTAGATAGCAAGATGACCTGTCGACGTGAGAGTGGGGCCGAGGCTCGTCTGTCTCCCAATCTTCTAAGTATTGGTTTCAGCGAGGCCGAAGTGGCCTGCCGAACTAGGGGTGGCCGAGACAGAACTAAGGTTCATTTGGCTTTATGGGGCCTAGGTAGATCCGAGGCTCACCTGTCTCCCGTATCTCGTGCATTAGCATCGGTGAGGCCGAGATGGCCTGCCC